GCGTCTTTAACAAAGGGCGCTAAGTATGAAAAGCAGAAGTATTACAAGAGACAAAATAAGTTTAAAACATCTGTCTTGATATATATCTTAGACAAAATTCAATTAACTTACCAGGAGAAGGAGGTTTCTCTGTAGGTGCAACAACTGAAAAAAAGATTCACTGTTCAGTGTACTGTAAGAAACCGACAGGACATTTAAAATTACAGCTGATTAAACATACCTTTGGGTATTTTGCAGATGTAAGACCGATATCTGCTGCAGCTGTTTGTACTCCATTTCCCACTGTCAGAATTGATGTCCACACATGATTCTAACTTTGGCATCCCTGTTTTCCAGTTGGTATAGTCCACAGCACTGTTATCGATCCACATCCACTCATCTGAAAAAAGAACAATTAAAAAAAAAGTCAGGGAAATAGTTTTATTTTACTATAACTATATTTTGCTGATGATACTGCTATATCAAGCAAAAGTTTGAATGCATGTCAATTTTGACTTTTATTTGAGGACCTAGATACTTCTTCCACCATTACTTACATAATAGTTTAATACTAGTAGTATTGGTCAAATAATACATCAAAATACTTAAATGATTTATGGTAACAGCAAATGATTGTTGTGAATAGCCACACATTGAGTATGTTTGTCAGCTTTACAGGGTGGCCAGGCCACATATTAAGAACCTACTTCTAATTATTATGTATTATGGACCTGGGACACAGTGTTTGGTCTCTTTATATGTTGAAGAAAAGAACAGGAACTGTGAACTTTGACTCCAAGAACTCTTATAAACAGCTGCACTGGATAACAAGGTCTTGACTGAGTGGGAACCAAACATACAGTACCTGCAGACTGTCAACCACTTGTATACTGTACACTTTGTTCACATTCAGACACTCAGACCTGTTTCAACTACAATCTTACCTGACATTTTGAGTTTAACACTGAATTTTACTTCAGTATGCTCACCTTCATGTGTCTTGTAAAGGCCGATCCAGAAGGACTTGGCTTCGTCCTGCAGAATCTCCAGATTCTGTTGTATGAACTTACCCTCCTCAGGGTCCTGAATACTCACCAGGGAAGCACCTGATGAGCACAGCCACACAGTGATAGAGTTTATACACACAAATATTCATTTATTAGTTTAATTGTGGAAGTTCTATGTAACATACTCATTTTCAGGCATTCAACTGAGGCATGGGCCCAGTTGTCCACCTTTGAACTGAGGAAGGCATAACAATGGCCTCTGAAAGGTATCCAGGTTATTAGTTTCTTTGGCTCTGGACAGTTGCCAGGAAGCTGTGGGGGCTCAGTGGGCACCTCATCTGAAAAAGAGACCGAAGATCGCATTCTAGTCTCAGATGCTGCTGCTTAATCATGCTAACTGGTTTGGAGTACCAATAGAGGGACTGTCTCACCTGGAGACCTCTTGCAAAGGGAATAGTAGTTATTAGTACATGGTGCAGTCTTCCACGTCCTGTCTACGTCGATATACACACAGCCATAGTTGTTTTTAGGCTCATCTCTACCCCATTTGGTGTACGACAGAAGCCAGTTATCAACCCACTTGAACCGGCCACCAGTCTGTGAAAGACATACAGTATTAATGAAAGTTTATGCAGAGCTTGAAATAGTGGTTTGCACTAATTGTTTATGCCTATGCTTAAAACAGTAGGTAGGATTATTTACCACATTGCTGTTGAGCCCAATCCATACAGGCTCATTGTGCTTGGAAATCCGTAAGGTGATGTATGCCTGGGTGATGGGGTTCAGGATACTGGCCAGATCTGCATCATCTGCTTTGCACTGCCTCCTTGCCTCATCCCATCTCATCTTCTGGGCCACCAGTTTGTAGGAGTCATTGCCAAGTTTGTAAAAAGCCTTTGGTAACACAGTGGTGGGTGCGACTACAATCTGAGAATCTTTGTGAATGAGGCATCTCTTGTTAATCAGGATCATTAAGACATTTCAGCTGAAAAACCTTCACTTAATATTTCACTCACCCACGTTTCTTTTACAGATGAAGCCTTTCTTTGACTGACAGTCTTCCACTTTCCATAATCCTGTGAGTTTGGAGACGCTGCCCACCATGATCACACAGTCATATGTCTGTCAGGCAGAGAAAGCTACATGAGTTCAGCTAGGTCGTTTCATTTTGAGGGGTTTGACTTTCATTAACAGTATGAACATCAATTTTTATAACCGATTTTCTATACAGTTTTATCACTTGAATTAAGAA